TGCCCTATCAAGACAGTGATTCAAAGAGATCTACAAATTAGTACTTATCGTATATATCATTAAACGTGAGTCACGACTGCCCATTTCTCTCTTGTCCTTGCATGCGAATGAGAACAAATTGTTAAAATGGAAATTTATTATACTTCACTCCTATTCTTTGTCACTTCGCACGAAATAGTATAGTATTCAAGAAATTTGTAATTATCGAATGACTGATTGAATTACGTTCCCATCGAGGATGAAATATACATCTGAAAGTTGATGAATTTCATTCAGCTTCCTAAATTGATATTTGGTTTCGTAATCATTCGTGAAATCACCATCACCAAGAGGTCATTCAAATTCATAATTCCATACCATGATCTGCATCTTTTTCAGTGACTGCAACTTGAGGAGGTTCACCCCGGGTAAAATACTTTTTCGTTTTCCGAGAGAAAAAATTTGAAATACAATCTTACGCGTGATTTTCCCTCAGGTATCCGATTTTGTAAGTTACATATGTCTCGGACCGCTAAAAATGAGCGATTCGTTTTTTTTTTAGTTTGAAAATCAAATTTTAAAAAATTTCCAACGTATTTTTTTTTCAAATAGTTTTGCGAATATGATCACAATTTTCGCTCCGTAATTATGAAAAATGCCGGAGCAGATCCATTTTTAAGTTTATTTGTGAACCAAAAAAGTCGTTATTTTCAATGGATCAATTATATTCTCGAAAATTTGTATAAGTATCAATTAGAATGAATGAATTTCCGTAAGAAGAATGGAAAATTAATGGAAACCGTGCAGAAAAGAACGCCTATTCGAATTTCAGGGAGGAAGTGCACTGGCGCAATCTAGATTACTATAAGAGGAGTCCTTTGAACTATAGAGTAACAAAAGACTAAGTGTGAGCATTGATAAATGAAGTGTGTATATAATGTTTGGGCAAGAAATTTTGTTTCTTGAAATATTAATAGAAATTTTGATAGACGAATAAATTTCAAAGTGTATCTTCTCTCGCATTTTTGATAATTAAGAAGCGAAAGCAATTTTGACCGACGAAATTATATTCCTGAGGTAAAATCACGCAAAAAAAAATATTAAAATTTTTTTCTCGAAAAATGAACACGTTATTTTCTTGGGGTGAACCTACTCTTAAAGGAAAATATGACAAGATCTTTTTTCAAATTGAGAAAATACCTTACAAAAAATATCTTCTGATGAACTTCTCCAAAATGAGTGATTCCTGAGGGATTCACAAAATTATGTCAAACTTGACGTTTACTCCACTATAGTTGAGCTCTTTGAACGGAATTTAATAACAGAATTTCATGAGATGGTGGAAGGATACAATGTATCTCAAAGCTCTTATATGAATATTCTGGTGATATGAGAAATGCATCACGTTAGTGAGAGATCATATACCGGGAACTGCAATGTAGATAGCGTGCGATGGAATACCGTTTGATGTCAATATGTTTGTGGGTCTTGTAACACGCATTAATGAGTCGATAAATTAACCTCGTGGAGATTGATGAAATCGTCAAATCAATAGTTCATTACACAGCTATAATTACCTTGCAATGTGATCCCAATGACCTCATAGTCAACTATTCAATTAGTGTTGAAAACTCAACAATTCAACACCACAATATTCAATATCTATTTATCACTTTGATGTTTGAGTGCAGGATTACAAGAATTAAATGTCCACTTCCATTGACGTTATTCGAACTTCTGCAGACTCATCAGTCTCTTGTTATTTACTTTCGCAAGTCACTTCTCCCCAGAAATAATTGGCTGTAACACTTTGCATCATTGAAACCAACTTTTCACAGTTTTCATTTTGTAATCCACGACATGACGTGAGAGAATTTGTATTTTTAAATGACCCACTTAATACCGTACAATTTTCGTTCGACATTTTGACGTGTGAGCCTCAATTCTGACAGACCGATTTCCCAGTTCTATTTCCAAATTCGACATTTTCACGCCATTCAAAATTATCTGCTACCGCAGCACTTTGCAAAATTCGCAGATTTTTTGTTTTTCTTGAAATCTTCGTCACATTTACATAATCAAACCGTCATAATTTTTACGAGAAATACAATTAAAAGTATAAAAATACATGGATCGACCAAAGTTCTCATCAATTCAATAAATACATATAACAATGGCTCTCAATACCTACCCAAAAATTCGTTATAATTCTTGAGAAATAAAATAACTGATCGTTTGGTTTGAGTGTCGGGCGGCAAGAGGCCTGAAATTCGAAAATGAGGTGGCAGCTACCCAACCGCCCCAAGTGGAAATTGCTTCAGACCCACCTGAAGCACGATCAGAACTTGATCAGGTTTTTGTAAGGTTCGACTGGTCCGGTGATTCCTGATGAGAACCTGACCAAGTTCTGATCCAGCAGATCGGATCCGAAAAACTACAGGCGGGTTCAGATCAAGTTCTGATCAGGTAGACGTGATCATATTCAAGGTATGTCAGTTGACACCTTGACTCAATCAATATTTAGTGAACCCCTCAAGTACGGCGTTTATATCGTGCAGTGCGTCCTCATGGGCCAGCGGCTTTCCGTCAACTCGAATTCGTTGCTCAGTACGCGATAACTTCTATACTGATGATCAGTAAATTATGAACTCAAATTTAATGATAGTCTTGAGCTTTCATCAAAAAGTTGTGCAATTATGGAATTCCTTTCGACATATTTTTTTGGAATTTTTAAGGGATTTATAGCGTGATCAGGGGGGTCGGAAAAAGTCAAGAAATTGATGATTTTTTAAAATACATTCTTTGATTCTTTTAAAACCCCTACGCAAAATCTTAGATAGCCTAGGAGAATCGGTGGAACAGGAATTTTCCTAAAAAATGCATTTCAACACGGGCCTTTATGGGAATTCAGAAAGAAAATTAAAAATAGAAAAAAGACCGTTTTTCTTATAGTTGGACTTTCTCATAGATAAATTTCGAATAGGATGATTTTTTTTGTAAAATTTTATAGTACATACTTTCTGCGATGTTCAACTCTAAAAAATGGCAATTTCGTGAAATTATTTCTTATTTGATTCAAGTAGCTATTGTTACCTTCATCAAAAATATATGGGGATAGGAAAACTCAATAACTTATGAGAATGCAATAAATTACGTAATTGAGAATTTTTTCCGGAAATCCATAGGGACTAACTTTTGGGTGGTATTGTCTTGGGATATATCTTAAGGATATTTAAATACGTCTTCCAAGTTAGCATCTTTTATTTCATCTAAATTTCAGTTTTGCGCAAAATCTTGCCATCCCATACGTTTTAATAATTTTTATCGTTGAAAGAACGATTTTTTCAAAATATGTATTTTGAACAATATTTTATTACATTCCACACGTCGCTCTTGTTGGTTTAGCCTCTAATAATCATGTGTATTTCATAAAACCTCATCCATTCGTTTCGTGAAATTTCCGGTTCTGATGAACCTCCCTAGTACCAAAAAAAATGTTCTAACGATTTTCCCCAGCACCACCCATTACCAAGAGAATTCGAGAACAACAATATAAGCTATGGCGACTCAAATAGTTCCACTATTGAAAGACAGATCGTGCAATTTTACAATCATAGAAACAATCGGAACCATTACCTACGATTGTGACATCAGACGGAATCGAGTTGTCTCAGAATCTTGAGAAATGATCGGATGAAAGTGGGATAGTAGTTGGCATGGCGCAGTATAATGCAGTGAAACTAGGTCCATTGTCACACAGGTCAGGTCACCAGCCCCATACATTCGCTTCTCCTCTCGTGACAAAGGTGTCAAGTTTCGTAACGAAGCTTGGTGGTGAGTGAGGGGGCATTTTCGAAAGCCGCCCACCCAAGCTCACCGGGCCACATGTGACCCGATTAGTCATTGGCGAATGGGGTCAATTTTTTTTCATAAAATTGATTTTTATGTTTCCCCCTTTTAGCCCATAAAAATGCCACAAAAAATTATAGTCATGGTTGGAGAGTGAAACTTGATTCTGTATGGGTTTTCATCGTGATTCAGAATAAGATAAGGATGTTTTTGAAAGTTTTGAAGAGATAAAACGAAATACGTCAATTTGATTTTTCCAAACTGATAAAGTTTTGATAGATACCGTCAAATTTAGAGAAAAAAATCTTTGTAGCAGAACCAGTATTGTGGCGCAAACTTGAGGCAATAAAAATTTTATTACATCACGAATTTCATATCCCAAATGAGTGTTCTAATATGGGGATGTTAAGTGAATTTCCTCGACCCCGGTGAAATTGACTGGTGGTCTGGCGGAGGGATTGAGAGACTAGAGTTCCTTTCCACACGAAGTAATCTAGAGACGTAAGCAGCTCAAGTTGTGATCAGTCGCCTGAATAATTTCATCATTGGAAGTTCAGAAAGAGATATCAAACAGATTTGTTGCGATAAGTCATCACATTGAACTTCACCTAGTGATGCCGCGAGAGACTTTACGAGACAGTACTTTGGAGAGATGATCTCGGTCTCAATGAATATGGAAATCTTTGGTCTCGTCTCAGTCTCAAAATACGCAGCATCGACTCCTCTCGTGATGACTCCGAGTCAATGAATCTCATCTCGGGCTCAAATTTCTCGTATTTTTAATGTAAAATCTCGGTTTTTGTCTCGCCTTGTCTCATCGCGATTTTCTACACATAAAAAACGCTAAAAACTGGAAACCGAAGGGAGATAAATTGCCTTGGAGTCATTACGACAGTAGTTGATGCTGCGTATTTGGAGACTGAGATGAGACCAAAAATTTCCACGTTCACTGAGACCGAGACAATCCCTCCAAAGTATTGTCTCGGGATGTCTCGTAAAGTCTCTCGCGGCATCCCTAACTTCACCCCTCACCTCCACGCCGATCTTTGATTTTCTCAATTTATTCGTTTAATTGAACACCATCTGTGAATTCTGCCCCTTAAATTTACATCTAACATTAAAAATAACCGTCATTCACCAGTAATTAATTTCCGTTTTTATTTTTGTTTCAGTCTAACCAGGGTGGTGAGGACTCCGACGAAGATACCCAGTGCGCCCTGAGCGAGAATTGGACTTTCGAGAAGAAGACCCGCCGTTGGTCCCGAGTCTGTGACGTCACTCAGGCAAACCTCGAGCGTCTCCAAGCGATTGCGGGTCAGATCCCCTCCGAGGAAGACTCCCTTGAAGACCGTCTTGAAGCCGAGGAAGCCTCTGACACAATGATCGACAACCGCTTTGCTACCTCTCCGCATCCTCTCCCGGACGAAATGTCACCAAAATTCCGTAGAACCGGTTCAGAACGTCTTCGCGACGGTGCCAAAGCTTTCCTCCGCCGAGTGGAATCCCTGAAATCTCGTCGTCGAAAGCGTCAGAACCGCGAGGGTGTCGTAATAAGTGGTCCCCAAGTTCTGGACATGATGTCAATGCAACAAAAAATGAAAGACCTGAACTGCGTCGACGTCTCGCCCACCGGTGTATCTCCAATGACCTTCGATCTCCTTCCTCCATCCCCCCTGAACCGCCCCATCTCACCCTTGACCCTGCCCCCCTCCCCGTATCACCTGCCTGTTCAAACAAATCTGCCGTTAACTAGTCCCTTCGGAGACGACTCCTCCAGCTATTGCTCTGATGGCTCCCAAGGTGGTGGTCCCACCCCTGCACCCCCGCGCAACAAAATGAACAAAGCAAGAAAGTTCCTCTATCGGAATCGTGAGGACCAAGGTGCTCTGAGTGACTCAGAGTGTCAACCATCAAGCTGGAGGCACAGATACTTAAAAGATGCAAATAGCAATCACACAAAAATCTTTGAGTACGTGAATATACACCCCCAGAACCAACATCAGAATCAAACTTTGAGTCCGAAGCCAGAGAAAAAGTTGAAGGAAATCAATACCAGAGGAGGGAGTTTGAATCTCGGTAAAGACTCACAGAGGTATCGAGACAAATTATCTAAAGATGATAAATCATCAAAACGAGAAGAGAAGCTGCATAAGAGCTTTAGACATGTTCGTGACGACTCTTATAAAGAGTGTAAACAACTAGCAAAGGAGGTGACGGTGACGGTTTATCGGGAGAAGTCGAGATCAAGGAGTTCTGAGTTGGCGAGTCAAGAGAGCAGTTCGACTATGGCCAGCAGAGATTCAGATCAAGAAGAAGAGTCACCGAGGCTTAAGAGTAGTGTCGTGAGGTGGCACAGCTTTCAGAGAGGCTCTCTTTATCCTGAACCATTGGACCCATTATGTCAGAGGGCAATGGCGTCCATGTCTTGTGGACAACTTTTGGTGCTGAGGAAGCTTGCTCTGTTGAAATTGACAGCTTGCATGGAGCGCTATTGTCCAACTCATCGCACTGGCTGGAACTGGGAGCTGCCGAAGTTCATTAGGAAGATCAAATCCCCGGATTATAAGGACAAAACTGTGTTCGGAGTTCCATTATTGCTTTCACTGCAGAGAACTGGTCAGGCCTTGCCTAAGTGCATACAGATTGCTTTGAGGTGGTTGAGAGCCAACGCTTTGGACCAAATTGGAATATTCAGAAAGAGTGGAGTTAGATCGAGGATTCAGAAGCTCAAAGCAATGACTGAGATTCAAGGGGACAATATCAATTTTGATGGACAACAGGCATTCGATGTTGCTGATTTGGTGAAGCAGTATTTCAGGGAATTACCCGAGGCATTGCTGACGAATAAGTTGTCCGAGACATTCATTGCCATTTTTCAACACGTTCCGGTGGAGCTGAGACCCGATGCCGTACAATGCGTCTTACTGCTGTTGCCGGATGAGCATCGGGAGGCGCTGGAGACGCTTCTCGATTTTCTTAATCACGTGGCGAGCAACTCTCCGTATAACCAGATGACTGCGTCCAATCTAGCGGTGTGTTTGGCACCAAGTTTGTTCCACTTCAACCATACAAATTCGAATGTAGCTAATCGATCGAGCAGTGTTTCACCGAGGAGGAGGAAGACGGTGGGAACTCCGGATCAGAGAGAGCTGTCGGAGAATAAAGCCGCTCATGATTGTCTATTGTATTTGATCAAACTTCACCGGGAGTTGTTTATGGTGAGCGGAAATGGTTTATTTTCTGTAGCGAAGTAGTGAAATGAGATAAGTTGAATGATTTCATATGTAAATCGATTTTTCCCCGTGTCTTTGAATCTAAGGGGGATGAACCTGTTTCATCATTATGTTCTCATAAAGGAATATTGGGGCTAAGGAAATTGTCGGATTGAAAATGTCGTCATTTCCAATTCTCGGGATTCAAAATGAAAGTTGATTTCACTTGTTCTTCTTTGAGTTCGAAATTGACATTCAAATTATTGTACAAATGCCTGGAAATTTAATAGGTTTAGTACAATGCATAGCAGAAGCTTCTTGTAAGTCCCAAAATAAAGATGGCGCGCCACTTTATGCCACCAGAAGTGCCAATGACAATGAGGGAGAGAGAGAGACTTTTTCCAAATGATGGTTAGATTTGATGGCAGTGATGTTATTTGCAGTTGAATGATTATACAATTATCATATATTTTATCGAATAAACAAATTAATTTCACGATTTTCTGCTATCGAAGTTGGGCTAATGTGAGAAGTCATTCTTGGTGGCGCCACCTACGTTGAGTTTCTCCTATCGCCAGTCTCATTTCCAATATCGTGGTGGCACCAGTTTTTGAATGGTTAAGGGGTACTTACCCATCAATATCAGATTATCCGTGTCTTTTCCCGTCAAATGTGAAATATCAACTTTAGAAGTCAATTCGAATGTTTTTTTAGATCGAAAGATACTTGATTTCGATTGACAAAGTTGGGAATTGGACAAATATTTGTGAAAATAAAATATAGGGGTTTGCGCGAAGAAAATTTTGGAAATTGTTTATGAAACACATATTCAGAGCAATTTTATTGTTATTTCAACAGTAAAAACCTGATTAAAGACTAGTGAATGAGCTATCTCCAACTGTTTTCTCTTCACCCTTCTTTTCTTCGCCACAACGTTGGGATTCTTCTTCTTAGTTGGAGTCAATTTCTTTTTTCGGAGTTTCTCTTCCAGACCCTTCTTTTATTTTGATTGTATGAACTCAAGTCCTCTTATTTCGTATTCTGTGAACCCAAATCTTGAATGCCGTATTTCTTATAAATTCTCGTTGTCTTCGGTTTGTTTCAATCTGTATCGATTAAAAAATTATCGAACACTTCATAGAAGCCGCTTAAAATCAATTGTTTGCTTAAATTTTGCCTCCAGATCCTCATGAAGTGATCACTGAATCCAAGCGTTACTACATAAGGCTCGATAAATAGATCAAATGATCAAGCACCCCGGATAAATGTAGTTTTAGAAAATTATTGCACTCAGTGTAACATAAATGAATATTGCAATTTGTGCAAAAATAACTGCACTTCGAGAGGAAAAAAATGAAAATGGACTTTGATGCCTCTGAATATTTATTCCTTCAAAATTATGCTCCAACGGTGCTTTAAATTCGGATATTTGGGTCCCATTCGAAAACTGGTACGACCACGCTACAGTGAAAACTCCAAGATAGAATATGCCAACTTGGAGCATTCTCCAAGAAAAATATTTATGTTATTAGGCCCGATAAACCGCGATTCTAACCTCGCTTCGCTTGGGCCCAATGACATAAAATATTCTACGTCACACGGCGATAGAAGTATTATGTGACGAATGTATTATAATCCTCACCTTCGGCTCGGAAAATCTGTAATAGTATATTTCGTGGGAAGTTGGCGGCCCGAGTCGAAGCCGAGGGTTGCCAATCACACGAGCTGAAAATTTCCGTCTCACATGTATCGAACAATATTTTTTGACAGTGATGTTACGTTCAGCGACTGGCTGAACTGTGCCTCTTTCGTTCACAAATAAACGAAAAGACGTTTCGTTTACTTTTCGGTTATAAGTTAGTGAAAAGGAATTTTTCGGTACGAGGTGAATATAGCAGCAGCTTCAAAATAGTATATTTCGATACGAGTGCGGAAAAATGTCTTTTTGGATCGTGGGAGATTTATAACACGAGCCGAAAGCGAGTGATATAATCTCATTAGCTAAAAAACACTTTTCCCATGAGTATCGATCGATATTTTTCATTTTTTATGCCTAAAAAGTTACTTTTTCGCACTGCGTAATGAAAAAGTATTACTCGTTAGATAATACTTTTATCGCCTGATGACATAATGTACTATTTCATGAGAGCGTGGGTGGGAAGGATTGGTGAGGAAATATTCCTTGTTGGAATTTAATTTTCATCACGCTGTGACGAAAAGTCCAATTTCCGCCACATTGTGATGAAAAATATTGTTCGTAATTCGTGAAAAAATGTTTTTTAGCTGGTTACGAAATATACTATTTTGTCACTGCTGCTACGTTCAGCCCGTGTCGAAAAGTGCCTTTTCGTTTACTAGTAAACGAAAAGTCTTTTCGTTCACAAGTATCGACTTTTCGTTTACTAGTAAACGAAAAATGGTACAGTTCGGCACTCGCTGAACGTAACATCACTAACAAAAAATATAGTTCGGATACACGTGCGACGGGGTGGTAACAAGCTCGGCTTCGCCTCGGGCTGCCAACTTCACACTCGTTACCACCCCGTCGCACTTGTATCGAAATATACTAGTTTCTCAGGTTATTCCATGTTGAAGAGTTTACTGTAAAAGATTGCTTTCGATAGATTAACGTAATCCTCATACTCCTGAGGATTTTCCGAAATGCTACATAAGTTAGATTTTCCATTATCTTGATTAACCTCTCTCTTCCTCATTGCACTCATCTACCATTTTATTCTGTTGGCCGTTGCGATTATCTTTAATTAATATTCTTTTTGTTGGGGATCAAAGGTTTCATCGGATATGTTGACTCAGTGTCACTTTAATTATATGGAGGAGAGTGTTCCTGTTGCTCTTGAGGAGTTGGGATCAGAGATGAAGCAGGACTGGAGAGGATACATGTATGCATGTACTACAGCTTTATTGAAGGAAGCACGTGAGAAGTAAGTGTTCCAACTTTTTTATCCTCCTGTTGCACACTAAGAGAAGAGGTCTTTTAACAGGATGAGATTCTCTTGTCCCGAGAAAACTTTCAAGTGTTAGCATAAGTCTTTCCCCAAATTCATATAGTTTGTGGTAGTTTAGATTTGAATGGATTGTGAGCATTCATACTTTCCCGATCTAATTACTCATCATCTCCAACTGAGAAATTCTTGTTTCGATTCCACGACAAACACTTTCATTATCAATTGAAGTGTATAGGAGGTATTTCATGCCAAATGAGTCACGGCTGATCCTCACCTTTTTAGAAACTAATCTCGATTTTTTTTACGATTGTGGGCTGGAAAAACTATCTCTTAATTTTTTTCAGATTTTTTCGACAGCCCATTTCGGACACATGTTTTTTTCTTTGTTTTTCGTTTTTTCCATCACTCGTGTTCCATTCAGCCAATTTTAATTTATGACAGCTTAAAATTTTACATTTTCCATCATTTATAAGAAGATTTTGCGTATTTTTTAAATTTCTAGGTGCTTATAATACCAAATTTAAAAACAAAAATTGAAAAATTTGACATGGCATTAATTTTCAAAATTATGCCACCTTTTATTTCTCTCACCTTTCTTTCAGTAACTCTTATAATCATAACTAGCATTTTGAGCTATCATATAAGTTGGGTTTCGTCCTGGATCTATTTTATTTTTAATTTTTTCTTCTCGAAATTCCGCGAATTTGGTCAAAACACCTCAAAACGGCTTCGATTATGTATGGCGATGAATATGTAACATATAAGTATACATTTAAATTCACCTCAAAATGTTTATAATCAAAGTCTATCAACGCCATGTTGGGGTATTTTGACCAAATTCATGGAATTTCGAGAAGAAAAAATTGAAAATAAAATGGATCTGGGATGAAACGCAACTTGTATGACGGCTCAAAATACTTTTCTTTTGATTACAAGAATTACTAAACAAAGGCGAGAAAATAAAACGTGATATAATTTTGAAAATTCAAGTTTTCTTGTAGATGGTAAAAATTCTAGATTTAACGCAAACTACATGAATTTATGGGAAGGACATCATTTGTAGTCTTGAGACTGCTTAAAAATTCTCTCGGCACAAGAGAGTTTCATCCTGTTGGAAAACTGTTTTCTCTCCCTCTGAGAACGAAATTATTTATCAGCATTTATTAACGAACGTTTTTTTTCATTTCTCCAAATTTTCCGTTGATCCTTAATGAAAATTTATAAACATGGAGATGAATACCGAAATTAATTTATTTATCAGATTTCACGATTTTTAAAATTGACACGGGAATATTTTCTTTTAGCAAGAAAACCTTCTTTGTCAAAAGTAATTTTTTCTGTCGGTGCACTTCTATTGGATTTGCTCAGCGTCTAAGATTTTCAATTGTTATGTAAAGTATTCATCCCTATTCTATGCTGCACGTCTTTTCCATCTACCTTTTCCTTTTTTTTAAATTCAAATTTCATCTTATTCTTTCATAGTTCTTTTTAACTCTTGCGTTATTTCTCTTTTCAATTTTCGACTTCGTGAAAACCTCTCTAAATAATTTATAGTGTCATATTAGTTGAAGAATGCTCCCCTAATAGCGGAGGGGATCCAATATTTCCAATTACTCCAATGCTTAATTAAAACTATTCTGTGATGAAGCCAACTTTATCTGTTGAACTGTTATCTGTTATCCGGTTGTCTATTGCTGTTGGTAGGAGAATTACTATTAACTTTCATAATACTAATTATATTCCTACCAATTGCAAAGTAAATGTATCATTTTAATTGTATCCTATGTTTCAAATTGACGATTAGATTGAGCCACTTAATTCTCTATATAAATAAAAAATATCACATTGACATTTACTACGAAATCCACCATTCAACTCCTACCTATTTCTAACTGTATTTCATTTAAATTAAATGGTATATATCGGGTGACGGATCGCATCGATAAATTATACCCGTTAGTAATCATCTGATTCCATTGAAACTCTATGTATAACACATTATTGATGGCCCCAACACACAAGTGAAAGGAGATGATCTCAAGATTTTTCTATATATTCCTCTGAAAATATCTTGGAACCAGGAGATTTTGAGAACACAATGTAAAAAGGCCTTTTGTAGCTGAGAAAATTTCCTGCAAAAAACGTTCTCCTGCCATGTTTTATGAAAACTCTTTATTGTCAAGATAAATACCGACTTAACAACAATGAAAAGTAAACGCAATTGAATCAAACCCATTATTAAATAATCAGATACCTACAAAATTTACTATTAAACAGAGGGACTTCTTGTGAGTTTTTTGCTACTTCCCAAAAATTTCGAAAGAAAAGGCCTTTTGACAACTTTTCGAACCCCTTTCCGTCAAAAATAGTCATGAAATAATCAACATATCCGTTTGTTTTGATTTATTTTAAGAAGTTTTTTCCTTAAAATCAGGAAAAGGAGTTCTGATTCTCAGGAGTTGTTGACTTAATTCTAGTATAATTCTACTTCAATTAAGCCGCAGTTTCGTAGATGTTGTAGATTTTTTAGAACTTTGAGATTCTTAATTTAAGAAATCAACGATTCTTGATTTGAATTTTAGAATCATTCTCCTTTCCATGATTATTCAATTTTCGAAACAATTCCAGTCATTTCATTATTAAATTGAGCCGTACTTGAAGTTCAGTCAATAATTAGGGGACGAACCGCAATTGAAAATCCTACGTAGACACAAGGGGTTCCTTACCTCTTACGAACTTTTTTGCGAAACCTGCCTGAAAAGTGCACTTTTCGAAACGATCTAGTGTGCGTAAAGGGGTTGTTTTCCGCATGGCGTGCGTAAAGTTCAGCGGTAGGACGTAAAGTAAATTTTAATGTTTAGAGATGGTGTGGAAAGCAAATTTCGAGTGTGTAAAGCAAATTTTTACGCCCGAGAATTTACTTTTCGCAACTCCGCGAAAAAAACCCATTACCCTCACTGCACCCCTGAAAAGTGAACTCTAGTATATTATGTTACTAGTGCCGAAAGTTGCACTTTTGCGCATGTACGTACAACATATTCTATTTTTTGTCCTGCCGAGTTCACTGTTCGAAACGGTAGTGGAGATAAAGTGATTAATGCTCGTGAACTTTACGCACGTCATGCGGAAAACCACCCTTTTTCCACATACTAAACCATTCCACAAAGTGCAATTTTTAGGTAGGTATTCCAAAATGTATATTTTTGCAATACCTACCTGGAAAGTTCACTTTTCGGGGCGGTTCAGCCGGCGTAAAGTGTACATTTTCCGTGCGATGTGCGTAAAGGTCAGAGCTCATGCGTAAAGTGCACTTTTGAGATAGGTATTACAAAAAAATTTTTTTCGTTTACTTGTAAATGAAAAAGGCACAGTTCGGCCACTCACTGAACGTAACATCGCCGTCAAAGAATATTGTTCGACACATGTGAGACGGGAATTTTGAGCTCGTGTGATGGCAGCCCTCGGCTTTGCCTCCAGTCACCAACTTAACACTCGCGAAAATTCCATCTCACTCGTATTGAAATATACTATTTCGTAATGAATGTCACGAATTTTTCTTCCCCAATCAAGTAACCAGTGTCTTATTCTCAGTGAAATATCATTTGGAACCACGAGTTTCCTACACTCACTATCTTGATTCTGTCAACTCGAAACTTATATTCTTTACATACTCTCCAGTGAAATTCATCAAGCCCTCTGAGCTCACCATTAACATCTCCGTCTTCTTCCTCATTCCAGAAGTCGTGGATGGGTGACAGTGAACAACCCAGCGGACACCAGTATCGAGATGGCGTACAAGAAAGTGGGTGACGGTCACCCCCTGCGTCTCTGGCGTGTAACAACCGAGGTCGAAGCTCCGCCAAACGAGCTGCTGCACCGGGTCCTCCGAGAGCGTCACATCTGGGACCCCCAGCTCCTGAAATATCGTCTAGTGAAGAAACTCGACTCTGATGCCGAGATATTTCAGTACGCGACAGGCAACATGAGCCCCTTACCAGCTCGTGACTATTGCGTCCTACGTACCTGGCGCACTGACCTGCCCAAGGATGCGTGTGTAATCGTAGAGACATCAGTGGAGCATCCAGACGCACCAGTTCTGCTTGGTGGAACACGCGGTATCGTTCTCGCCTCGCGTTATCTCATCGAAAAATGCGGAAGTGGAAAATCAAGGATTATGCATCTGTCTCGTGTGGATACCAAAGGCAGAACACCAGAATGGTATAACAAGAGTTATGGACACATTACTGCACTTCACTTGAGCAAAATACGTAATTCATTCAAGCATACGGCAGACGGACCTGAGAGCAAAGTCTGAGACAGGAGCACCGTACAATGCGCGTCATTGTACGGTTCGCAAAATTTTGATATAGAGTCGATTACGTCATCGGAGAGATCGTCCGATCAGTCGTCAGTGGAAATGGATTTGTTAACGGTACCTTTGTTCATCGATGAGTGATGAGGTGTCAATCAAAATGATGGTTTCACGGCTGTGGGGGATGTAGATGATGGCAGGTTTATCAATTGAATTTGGAAATTGCTGCGGGCAGATCGTTTTTGGGGATGGAATGGTGGAATTGAGGAATTGAAGTCATCAATGCTAATGGAATGAATTTGACCTTTTTCGTGATTGTGCATTCATCTTAGATGTGAGTGATGATAAAGAAAGAAATTCACCGTTGAAAATATCTTCTGATTTCCTCTGAAATTACTCACTAGCAGGATTATTCCGTCATTGTGGAGATGTGATAGATAGATTTGAATCTACTGTTTCCAGAAAAAAATCTGGATATTTGGAAAATGAATGTTGAATTGAAATCGTCTCGCCAATTTTTATATTTTCTTTAAAAATCATTCTCACTTATTTTTACGTACTTCAACATTTTTTTCACTCACATAAAAATTATCATTAGGCATTTATGGAAGTGTAAACGTTAGAATACTGAACAAAATATGATGGAAATATCAAAATTTCTGTCGTTAATTAAAATCCAATGATTTATCGTGTTAATCAACTAATCTTTGACAGTACTAAGATTCAAAAATCCATAAAATTCCAATTTCTGAACGAATGAACAGTAGGTTAGGTAAAATATCAAAATACCGCGTGAATATGTCTTATATTGCCTTCCCGGACCAAATACATTTTTTTATGCTAATTATATTAAAATTTTTCTCTTCAGATTTAAGATTATTATTAACGGAACTGCGAGTGTGTAGGAGAGTTAAATGTGAATGTGTGCCTGGAACAATTAATTATAAAATCATCGAGTCACTAACCGACTCGAGGTGCATTGCATTAATTCGAGGTACCTGGAAAATATTTATGGGACCACGTGGTTTTTTTTTACCAAGTCCCAATATAGTAAGAAAGATTAATGAGCAAATAAAATGTCTTGTGCATGATAATCGTATGACAGATATCTCTAAATGTATTTCAGTCGTAATACTAGTCACTTACATGACTTGAGCGCATAAGAGTTGACAAGAGTTTTTTTTTCTTCGAAAAATCTATAGTTTTTCATTCTGTAGTGATTCAACGTCATATGTTATATGAGATGTAAGAGAATGGGCGGAGAAAAATTATATTCATTATATAGTATATATGAATGTTATGAAGAAAATGATATTTTTGTGTCAAATGCCAGTAGAAACATCCAGATGTAAACATGAAGATAAAACAAAATAAAGTGGAAAAGATGTGTATCTATGTTTTCGAAGTATGATCATCTATATTCTTATAATAAATGTTCCATGAGATGTACATATGTATATTACTTTATTGTGAATGACGAATATATTCATTAAACAAGTTAAATTTCAGATTTTTAATTTTTTTATTTAATTCAATGTTGTATCCAATCCTTAAGGTCTTTTGTGTTGTAATAAATTCTGATTTTTATGCCTCTTTTTACCATATTTGAAATTTAGCAATTATTTAAAGAATATCAACCGTATAAGAGAATCAAAATCAATAAGAATTGCCGTGCAAATAAGCAATAATACAACCTTAAATAGCAGCACGTCTTCAACCTGAACATGAGATGAAAAATTTTCGAGAAAAATTAGTTCATGGAATACGCCAACCAAGAGTACGCCAATTCCACAAGAAATAACATTTGATCAAAATATTCAAATCACAACAAGAAGAAAAATTGCAAAGAATAATTCACAGACTTCAAATATATTCATTTTTTAATTTTCTGTCCATAAAAAAATAGAGAGTTCATTGACATATTCGTTAATATTATAAAATAGTCCAAATGGAGACATTCAGACTCGACACAAATCAAGTAATATGATTCCTCAAATTAGTCCTGTCTCAATTCCTCTTAATTTAGTTGAAATTCCCCTCTTTAAATTAAATGACGAGGAAAATATTTATTAAAAACAGCCGACCGCAATGGTTGGGTGAGTTAGGTGTTGCTCCGGTGGACATCCGAGTGCAGCTGCGTTCGGCGTGGTTAGGACTTGGATGGGTAACCGCTTAGGAACACCTTCGCCCAAAAATTTCGGAAGGTAGGCACGGTCTAGTGGCCTAATGTGCTGCCCCTCTAGTTAGTGTGACAGAAAGGCACATTAGGGCTCTGCACAATTGGCCGGCTGTACGACTGGGGTTTTCCATGGTTTCCCGTGAAGTCCTAGCCCGAATGGGGTACAGTTAAGAGTAAGACGGCCCATGGTAACGCAGATAAAAATTAGAAGAGTGAAGTGGGAGAGGCAAAGGCAGACGAATGAAGAGCCTATAAAACCGTAATGGTATTAGGAAAGAAATATGAATAATAAAAAATATATATATATTTATTAAAAAGAAGATTATTGATCTCAGTTTCTGGTTGAAATAATAGTTGCTCTGCTAGGAAAACAAAAATTTTGGGTACCCACAAACATTGAAAAATGATTAACTAAAACTGAACCGCAATCCACTCGAACAGGCTCTAGCGTCGTCTCGGCGTCATCGGTCACAAACTTCGGTATTTGGGTTGATGTGACACTCAATAATATTTTTCTCGTTTGTAAGATTTAAAATATCGGACAGATTGAGTTCTCTTTATGTTCCTGTCGATAATTTGAATTTAAATTACACTGTGAGAAAAAAAAATGAAATGTCATGGACAGTTGACTACCAATTTTCAGGACAGTGACACTGAATGCGATTTAGGAGAAAAAAAATCATAAAATTTCAGGTTTCACTAAAAATTTAGTAAAATTTCAATATTTTAAGGGGTATAAAGATAAGAATTCGTTACATTATTTGAATCTCCAATCTAATATGAATATTCACTGTCAAATTGCATTGAATTTTCGGTGAAATCTGAAATTTCATTATTTTTTCCCCTTAAATCGCATTCAGTGTCACTGTCCTGAAAATTCAAGGGTATATTTACCCGAATTTTTTGGTTTTCTATTGATTTTCAGAGAAAAATGGAACGAAAATTTTGCAGTTCTGTTTGATTTCCTGAAGATTTCCTGAAATTTCAGTGAAGTTGGAACACGATAAAAATTTCCAAAATTTGGCATGGAAAATTCAGACAAAAATTTTTAACAGTGTACCACAGTGTGAAAAATTGAAATGAAAAAAAAAAAAAAATCCGTGGAAGAAATACCTGAGTATGCTGCATCATTGAAAATTTTTTCAATTTTTTTCTAGAAAAAAAATGCAATTTGTATGTTTTTGTAACCCCACCAGCTATAAAGCTACCTCACCCTCAATTGGAATTTTTTTTTATATCTTCCAAGAAAATGATGAACTATTGAAATAAACTAATGGCTGATAAATCAAGTCTTGCTGAAAAGTATATATCAGTTACAGAATTTTTCAAGATTACATAAAAAAAGTCAGTTGACTAAATGATACGGGAAATCATGAGTTTCGCAGTAAATTCTATCTATTGAGCCTCACGTGGGACAATTATACCTTCAACGCAAGTGGCGCGCAATTCGAATGTCAGTATAATCGCTGGAGCATAATGAGAGAGTTATAGGTTGGACCATGAAACTGAAAGAGGGAAAAAACACTCCGCAGGTTTACCAACTTGAAATAACCATAGGAATGATTCGTGCGGCGTTGCCATGTCTTTGGGGTCTTTTAATATTGAACTAGACCAGGCGCGCGCTATCAACGTGATAAATACATTGTAAAAAGAATGATGGTTACGAAAAACTCAATCAATGAAGGAGATCAATGATGAGTAAACAATCAATGAGTTATTTTGAATTTTCACTCAATTCTTTCAAATTTCTCAAATTTCAATTCTTTCAAAGTAACCCGTTATTGATCCTATTTATGAAAACGAGATCGAAGGCGCCTCAAAATTTGATAGATTTTATGATTCATCACGTTATTGTTTAGGTTGATTGGAATCAATATGTTCTTTCACGTATACGGATTTCTATACTAGTATTACGAATGAGAAATTCGTGGGAAGCGATGAAAACTTCTATTGAAAATCCATGATTTTTTTAACTTCTCGACCCGAAGGGAGGAAGTTATTGTAATTGTTCCGAAAACGAAAACTGGAATTTTCATGATTTCTCGACGTTTTATGATCCCTAGAAGGATCCTGACATGTTTTTTTTATTGCAAAGGGATGGAAATTTAGATCGAGAATCCATAGAAAATACAAAGAAAGCTATGAAAACTTGCATTAGAAAGCAAACCATTTTCCATAGTAATCTATCGAAACTTCAATTAAAAGTCCTTGAAAGATTCGTCGAAATTCATGAAAACTTCAATTGAGAATCAATACATAGCCCGTTGGAAATCACCAATACCAACATCATCAGCACCGTCAGGAAGATCAGCATTATCAACTAAATCAGTATCATCATCATCATGTATGCGATTTTTCTTTCAGACATTTAGGAAATGGCAGTGTCTATTCACACGCGCCACGGTAATTTTTGCCGTAGACCTATGGTAAAAATTACCGTGGATCCACGGTCATTTTCAACGTGCACGAGGAACCGCCGTTTTTACCGTAGATCTACGGCAAAAATTACCGTGGATTCACGGTGATTTTCAATGTGTGCGAGGACCTACCGTTTTTTTACCGTAGGTCTACGGAAAAAATTACCGTGGATTCACGGTGACTTTTAACGTGCACAAGAAGCCATAATTTTTTTACCGTATATTCCCGGCACAAAAATACGGTGAATCCACGGTGATTTTTTTTGTTAATGTGGATGAACAATCGTCATGTTTTACGGATCACGGCAGTGCTTTTGGCAAATGCGTAGTCGATGATTTGTTCCCATTAGATGTACGGTAAGTTTCTGCCATTCATTCGAACATTCATCGTTAATTATTTGAGCTATTGATGCAAATAATCACCGTGGATGAGGCGGCTGGTACAGTACATCCAAGAGTGGCTCAGAGATAGGAACTTGTAAATAAAAATCGAAATCAGAAGAATATGAACATTTTTTTATTAAGCACGAATCTCATTCACAATGTTTTCAATAACCAAAACCATTGACGTCATTATAATTTTCTTAACCTTGAATTCAGACATAAAGTCATTGAACGAGACCTGTTACATACTTCCTCCAATCCTGCAATCATTGAGGTGTCCAACCGTTGAATGAAATCCTACAATGATTATTTTTTTCGTTCTTTTCTTATGCATGCGAACGAAATCATATCTTTGTAGCTTTCTTACCATTGATATCCAACTACTTGAGATTCAGCGCTTTGTTACTGAATTTGCCTATGTTTCTGCAAAACACGAGCCATAAAACCAATCTTCGACCGGTTCTCTCTTTATGCCTACACATAACCAGTGATGCCATAGGTGGCATCCCTCACAACAAATAACATTTTCACACGACAGATGATATTCTTCCACACATACAGCACATTTTTAATCATCCTCCCCTCTTTTCATTTCAACACTAGTCAAAAATGCCTCGAAGGCATCCTTTTCCATGCAAGACATCAGAAGTTGAAGGTCATCGTCTCCGGTGTCGATGAAGGAATCATTTAAGTTGGTAGTGTCGATTTCGATGCTTTTAATTTTTGAAGTCGTGAAATCCCGTCCTTTCACATAATTCGACATCAGTAGCCATTTTAACATCATCTCAAGTTTGATGGCATCATTTCTTTTGTCAGAAGCAATTCCACCAACTTTCTCCCCGGTCAATTTTCCTTGGCTTCGACTTTGAGATGCTCCACAACTTCTAGCTACCCCACAACCCCTAGATGCTCGTTGACCTCTAGTCACCCCTCGACCTCTACCTCGAGTTCCTTGATGTTGTTGTGGCGAACGTTTGGCGATCTCTTCCTTGTTGAACGCTACCCCAGCCACGGTAGTTCTTCGACCTTTTGGGGCACCTCGAGGCTTTCCGACCTTCCGAACATCTTTTATTCCAGCAAAAGCTTCAATTATCGATTTGCTGAGCTTACTACGTGTACGATAATGTAAGGATGGTATCACCAAAGGTGCTTCAGTGTGGCCAGCGTCCGAGAGAGAAGTCTTAGGGTTTTCTCCTTCCTGTTCGAGAGTTGCCCCAGAATGTCCAGTAGTGATGGCTCCACCTTTAACGTAGTCCTGAGATGAGGTGATATGAAACTCTAATGGTTTTGTCTGTAAATCCTCAGCAGGAGGAGGCATTGCCGCAGAAAAATCATCAGTTACGTGCGTTCTAAGTTGCTCCATCCTTTTAACGCGGCTAATACTCGATCCAAATGTAGACTGAGCAGTCGAAAGT